AGTATTATGCTTCTGAAGTAGAACACTTTGTTTCCTTTGCCCTCTCTCTCACATACTGACATGCTGACACACACCACTCCTCCTCTTGTTATGAATACGTACTTAACTCTAGGGTGACATGCTGCCATTCTTAATAGGTGCATATTAGGTGGAAGGATGAGCATCTTTTAAGAAGCAGATGGAAACTCAGTTGGAAAAGCACAGGAAATATCAAAATGAGAAACAGCTGAGTTGGGACAAGAACACAGAGTGAAAACTAAATGGTGTCTGTGTAAGGTTCAAGAGGATTGGTTAAATTCACATCACCAGCCTGCTTTCTTTGCTGTTGTGTGCATATCAAGGCCACCTCTTAGGACGGTGTGCAAGGATCCTGGGAAGAGAGGAGAGGAAGGAAGGCTGAAAGCTACCCCTTTGCTTGTGCCTGTGCTTGTGAGAGGGATCGCATTTTCCTAATTGTACAAAGGTATCAGATGGGTTAGTGGTAGAGCTAGTCTACATTTCAGCAAAAACAACTGTGAGTAAATATTGAGTCACTGACAAAGAGTTGATTTTTGTTGTAGATTAAGCAGGGCAGGAAATACCTAAATTATAGCGGGGGTTTAAGTTAGATCAAGGAGGTGTATCCGGAGGTTTTGAAAGAAAAGGTGGACTGTTATCTTTCTAAGATGGTTCTAGATCCTCTATAATGCCAGTTTTAGGGACCCAGCAGACTTCTTTGAGATCACGGAGTCACGGCAACAGAACTCTAATGTCTTCATTTTTCTTGTTTCCTTAAACACAAGCTAAATTATGCTCACTATTGAGTTAGCAGAGTGAAACATATTATTACCAATTCACTTACATAAGGATGCTGAGATTCAGTGACTCTGAAATATCACGACAAATATAGAAAATATAACCCAAAATGTAAAAGGTACAATTAACACTTCATCTGATTTGACTTTTGTGAGTGGGGTCTGGGCGTGCATCCTCCTTACTAAGGGCCTAAAATGGTTGCAAATGTCCCTTGGCCCTGTTACTATCTGCCTCCAATCTTTAAAAAGGGTCCTTGGTGCCTGTTAGTTAGGAAGCAGGCAAAATAAGGTCAAATAAAAGTCAGAGTATGGTGGGCTGCAATTTTTCTTCTCATGCATTCCAAATTAAGAGGGAATGTAAGGGTTAACTATAAAGTATTCCACCTTGAACTCCCACACTCTCTTTATCTAGCACACCATAATAAAAGATCAAGAGTTCCTGCTTATTATCTTATTTTTCCTGCTTGCTCCACCAGGCTAAGGCCCAGTCTGGTTATGGATTAGCATGGTGATCGATAGTAAAGCCTGCTGTCTCTCTCGGCAGGGGAAAATGAACTCAAAATGCAGTCAAACTCTTATTGATCAAGAATATAGGTCTCACTTTCATTACCTCTGTCTCCTGATAACCCACAAATAATGTGATGAGCTGCTAATGTCTCTGATTTTCAATGGACCCTTCACCCCTCCTGTCTGCACATTGCAGCTTTTATTTTCATCTTGATACACACTCTGTGTAATTTATGGAGCACTAACTCTCACTCTCTTACCGTCAGACCTGGTCAATCAGAGGTAATCATATCCCTCTTCACTGGGATGAGGCTCCAGCGAGTTCAAAATATAGTTTTCAAACATGCCAAGGAAATGCAATATGCAGCCGATTTCTTTTGGGGACAGAGAGATGCAAAGTCTTCTCGATGAAGCAACACTCAGATTGGTGGTGACCTTCTCAGGATCTGACCTGCTTCTACTGAAGTAGCCCCTGACTTGGCAAACGTAACCGTTCAAGTCTCTTGTACGGCTAATCTCGTCTCAGTTTCTGCTTCTCAGAGGACCTGATCTGATGCAGATTCTTTTTACCACTGTGAATATTGGCTCTCAGGGTGGGCAATGGCTGTGGTGTAGAAGAGGGTCCCCTTTCCCCTTGGTCACTTAATGACCTCAGAAAGTTTCTGTTAAATAGCTGTAGAAAAGAGTTTATAAAGAGGTCCTCAAGTATAAAACAGCATCCAACATGGGTATAGGACAGACTCTGCTGAACTTTATTATTTTCCACAGTCGAACTGTTAAAGTCAAATTAAAGCTAGTAACAGTTGCTTTACCTCTCAGATCTAAACTAAGGGAATGCTCAGCTAATTGAATCCCTTTTGTGAGGAAAGTCAGAGTATTTTCTGCTGACAATCTGATTAAAATAGATCAGAGTGATGCAAATAAAATCCTCTTTCCTGGAGGGAATACCAGATGACCAACAGCAAATAAAGTGATGAAATACTCTGCTTTTGGTTCAGCCGATAGAGTCTGAATGGTGTTTTCCAGCTCCAGTCCAAACAATTTGTACACCTGTTGAAAATAAAATAAAATATGACAGTGGTACAGAGTCTGGGGGATTAAGGTGATTTGTACTGATCTCTGAAAGCTGAGGTAATTGCAGGTCTCATTTTCCTCTTTTGTTCTGCAGAGCCGCATTTGAAATTTGACAAGAAAGTCCTCTCTCCCTTCCACTTTTTTTATTTTTTGCAGAGGACTAGGTGGAAATTTCACCAGATTTCCCCCTTTCCTCTCTGCTGTGTCTCCTTTGAAACGCTCTGGTTTCCTTTGGCTCATGAAATGAGATAAAGGGAAAACCAATCCAGTGTAGACTTTTGTTTACTTGGCAGATTTAGGAACTACCCTGGAAGGCATGCTCTTTCATTTATTGTTTTAAAAATATCCTACAAAGAGGGAAGAGATATGGGAACATATATATATGTATAACTGACTCACTCTGTTATAAAGCAGAAACTAACACACCATTGTAAAGCAATTATACCCCAATAAAGATGTTAAAAAAAATGAATAAAGGATCTGCATAGACATTTCTCCAAAGAAGATAAACAAATGGCTAATAAACCCATGAAAAGTTGCTGAAAATCATTAGCCATCAAAGAAAAACAAATCACAATGACAATGAAATAACACTTCACACCCACTAGAATGGCTGTAATAAAAAAAGACAAATAATAACAAGTGTTGGTGAGAATGTGGAGGAATTGGACCCTTATACACTGCTGGTGGGAATGGGAAATGATGAAGCTGCTGTGAAAAACAGTCTGGCAGTTCCTCAAAAGGTTAAAAAGAGAGTTACCATATTACCCAGCAATTTCAGTCCTACATCTATGCCCATGAGAAATGAAAGCATATGCCCACACAAAAACTTGTATACGAATATTTACAGCAGAATTTTTCATCATAGCTAAAAGCTGGAAGGACCCCAGATTTACATTAACTAATAAACAAAGTTCATATATCCATATAATGGGACATTATTGAAACATAAAAAGTAATAAGGTATCAATACATGCTACAACATGGGTGAACCTTGAAAAGATTGTGCTGAGTGAAAGAAGGCAGTCACAAAATGCTACATATTGCATGATGCCGTTTATATCAAATGGCCAGCGGCAGATCTGTAGACAGAGAAGCTTAGTAGTTGCCAGGAGCTGGGGTTGCGGTTGATGGAGAGTAACTACTAATGGGTATGTGATTACCACATATCCACATATCTTGCCACAGAGTGGAAAACCAAGGCAGGAAACCATTGTTGAGAGATGGAGACTGACCCATGATGGCATCGTAACAGCCCCTGGATCCAGCTGTGCCTGAAGCTAGACAGCCCTGGACATTTCATGTACATGAGCCAATAAATTGCCTTTTGTGTTTAATAAATAAATAAATAAATAAATAAATATAATAATAATAATAATAAGTAAATTAACACCTAAGAGACTCTCTTAAATGACTTCCCTTTGCTGATTCTCTGTATTAATTTCTCTCTCTAGTCTCCTAGAGAAAACCTCCTGAATAATATCCAGGCATGCTCAATGGTCAAGGCTGGTTGGTCACTTTTCAGGATGCCCATGTACCTCTGCTCAGGTTGTTAGCAAGAGTCAATAGTTCTGGTGCTACAGACATAGAGAACAGACTTGGGGTTGCCAAGAGAGAGATGTGTGGGGGAGGGATGGATTAGGAGTTTAGGATTAGCAGATGCAAACTATTATATGTAGAAAGGATAAACAACAAGGTCCTACGGCATAGTACTGAGAACTATATTCAATATCCTGTGATAAACCATAATGCAAAAGAATATGAAAGAATGTATATATATGTATAACTGAATCATTTTGCTATACAGCAGAAATGAACACAACATTGTAAGTCAACTATACTTCAATAAAATAAATTTTTAAAAAATGTTCCCAATAGTATTGGTGTTAAACCTGTTATAATCATTGTTATTGTAATTATGAGTTAAATAACTATAACAAAAATGGTCTTGGGGCTTCCCTGGTGGCGCAGTGGTTGAGAGTCCGCCTACCGATGCAGGGGACACGGGTTCGTGCCCCAGTCTGGGAAGATCCCACGTGCCGCGGCGCGGCTGGGCCCGTGAGCCATGGCCGCTGAGCCTGTGCGTCCGGAGCCTGTTGTTGTGCTTCACTGTGGTTCATATAACTTACATCAGGCCAGTGAAATGAATGAACCGTTTAACAAAAGAGGCTCTTCTCCATCAATTCATGTCATATATGTCAAAGTATAAGTAAGAGCTTCCTCAGCAGATACCACACAGCAAAAAAAAAAAAAAAAAAGGTCTTGGCTACACATCAAAAGATTAACAAATGGATGCATATTTTTATATTCTAAATTAAAATAAAATATTTAAATTATGCACATATAATTTTCTGAGGCCCTGTCTTAACTGACTTTATGATAACTTTATGATAACATTCAATAAATAATTTCCACTGTATTGCCTGTCCAACAGATAACATATTATTTTCTCTATTATTGCCATATATAAAGTTTTACATAATATCAGAGGTGAAATCACTTAAAATTTTATGCTTCTGAATCCTAAAATTCATTTGAATTTGGGATTTGTAGAAAAATATATAAAACTATTAGGGATAATCTGAATTTCTATTAAATAATTGTAAGCATGCAAATTAAACCTACCTCAGTTGTATCCTTAAGATAATGAAAAGATCTAATAGATCTTGATTTTAGATCTTCTTCTACTGGCTCTAAAGAAAGAAATCCAAACATAAATAATATTTCTATACTGTTAGACTACTTCTAATTTAACTCAACAAACCATTTACTCTACTTGTAAACTTTTTAGAAATTTGTTTGTTAGAGCTAAATATATTCTAGAATAATTTGCTTTTAAAAAGAATTTCTATTAACAGAATCTAACATTCAATTACTATTGCACAATAAAGCTGTATTTTCTTAGAAAAAAAGATTTCTAAATAAAAGAGAATCATACTTGATAGCCAAATAAATCTTCTCATTAATTCCTTTGAAAAGAGAAAGAGTCCCCTCAACCTGAATCCCCCATCTCCAATTATGAGTTTTACTAATTTGGATTATCATTTAATGGATTTTTGTTTTAAGTAGGTATAATGTAGGGTCAAGCATGCAGACTTTGGATGTAGGTAGCCTGGGACCAAAAACTACTTTTTTGTTTGTGAGTTATGTAGCTTTAGGAAAATCATTTAACCCCTCTGAGCTTTAGTTTCCCCATCTGTTAAGTGGAAATAATAGTACTTATGTAACAGGGATGCTGTGAGGATTAAATGAGATAATAGATGTAACAAACTTACATCTGGTATTCCTTCAATCAACAGTTATTTGTTGATCACCTGCAATGTGCCAGGCCAGTGTCTGGTGTTGGACCCTGGAATTGTGATTTCTGCCCAATGATGCACACATTTTATTGGATAGTACAGAAAAGAATTAAGTAAAGAAACAAAGGAGTGAACAATTATAAATTGAGATGTATGCCGTGACAGACATAGACAGATTTTGGTGAGGGACAGCATGAGAGGGAGGTATAATTTAGATAGAGTAGTTGCTAGGGATTGAATGTTTGTGTCTCTCCCACAATTCATATGTTGAAACTCTAATTTTCAATGTGGTGGTTTTGGGAGTTGGACTTTGGGGAGGTAATTAGGTTTAGATGAGGTGATAAGGGTAGAATGTCCATGATGAGAATAATGCTCTCTCCACCATGTGAGAATAAAGTAAGAAGGTGGCTGTCTGCAAACCAAGAAGAAGACTCTCAACAGAACCTGATCCTACTGATCTCAGAATTCTAGCCTCCAGAACTGTGAGAAATAAATATTTGTTGTTTAAGCCACCCAGTTTATAGTACTTTGTTATAGCAGCCTGAATAAGAGAGAAATTGGGACTGAGAGGTGGGGTGCTGCTGTAACAAATACCTAAAAATATAAAAGAACCTTTGGAACTGGGTAGTGGGTAGTGGCTGAAAGAGTTGTGAGGTGCATGCTAGAAAAAGCTAATATGGCCATGAAGAGATTTTAAAGGCGATTCTGGTGAGAACTGAGAAAGAAAGAGGAGAGCCATTGAGGAAGCTTTCATTTTCACTGAGAATACATGAATAACCATATGCAGAAATGTTGGTAGAAATACGGATGGTAAAGGCCATTCTGATGAGGTCTCGGACAGAAATGGGGAACATGCTATTGGACAATGGAGCAAAGGTGATCCTTGTTATAAAGTGGCAAAGAACTTGGCTGACTTGTGTTTGTGCTCTGGTTTTGTGTGGAAGGTAGAACTTGTGAGTGATGAAATTGGATAGTTAGCTGAGATTTCTAAGCAAAGTGATAAAGAAGAGGCTTGATTTCTCCTGACTGCCTGTAGTAAAATGCAAGACGAGAGAAATGAATTGAAGACAAAATTATTAAGCAAAATGGAACCAGAACTTAAGAATTTAGAAAATTCTCATATTACAAAAACTGAGAAAGCACGTTCAAAAGAGAACACTAAGGCTGTGGTGCACTGACCATTTGATAAGGAGATAAGGAGATTGGTATGGGTGTGAAACATGGACCTAATCAGCCATCCCAGCAGAGCCACTGCCAGTTTGAAGTGAAGGGGATAGAGACAGGATAAAATGAAGGAAGGCTGTCGGACTTCTTGGGTTTTACAGGATAGGACCACAGAGCTATGCACTGGAAACGTGCTATTCCTCAAGACAAGGGAAGAATGACCATGAAGGTGACTCAAAGATCATCAGGCCTGCCTCAGTTTCAAAATCAGAGGCCACTGCCTCAGTTTCTGCCTATGGAGCCCTTGGGGGTGGGCCAACACTCTCACTAGATAGTCCTGGGGATGAAATCCTGGCCTAGCAGAGTCCCAGTGGGGAAGTGGGGGAGATGTGACCCCCTCACTCAGCAGAGTTGTGAGAGCAGGACCTCTGCCCCAGTGGGTCAGGAAGGCAGAGCATCAAGCCAAAGAGGATTATCCTTGAGCCTTAAGATCTCATGAAGTTTGTCTTAGTAGGTTTTAAACTTCCTTGGGACCCATTGCTCCATTTTTCTTTCCTATTTCTCCCTTTTGGAATGAGAATGTCTATCCTATTCCTGTCTCAACTGTATTTTGGAAACACATAATTTGTTTGACTCCACAGGTTCAAGCTGGAGAGGAATTTTGCCTCAGGATCAATCATACCTTGAGTCTCACCACAGCTGATTTAGATGATATTTAGGTAAGACTTTGGACTTTAGTAATAACATAAAACTCAGTATGGCAGGAAAATAATTAACATGTTCTAGGATTCCTTTATGTCCAGAAGGAGGGTAACAATATATTTTGAAAGGATGAATATTGTAATTTCTAGGGTAATCATTTAAAGAATAGAAACAGAATGCATGACTACCAAATTAGTAAAGGGGAAAAGTTTAAATTTTAAAAAGTCAATCCTAAATAAGACATAAGAGGACAGAAGAAGAAACACAGAATCAACAGGAGAGAAAGAACAAAATAAGATGGCAGATTTAAATCCAAAGATATAAATAGTTACATTAAGTATAAATGGACTAAATGCTCCATTTCAAAGACAAAGATTACAGAGTAGATTTTAAAATCTAAAAATTTGATGTTTACAAGAGATAAGACTCTTATGTAAGAGATCATAATGTTACAGAAATGTGGCAACAAGATGATGGAAAAAGATATACCATGTAAATGTTAGCCAAAAGAAAGCTGGGGTAACTACAGTAATACTGGATAATAAAACAATCACTTTGTAATTAAAAAGGGTTCAATTCACTAGAAATATATAATAATTCTAAAATTTTATGCAATTTATAACACAGCCTAAACTATATTAAAGATCTGTAAAGCAAAATTTGATAACTCTACAAGGAAAAAATAAATGAGTCTGAAATTTCTCAGCAATTGACAGAATAAGCAAGCAGAAAAATCAATAAAGATATAGAAGAGTTGAAAAACAATGAAGAAATTTGACCTAAAAGACATATGTAGAACACTGCACCCAACAGCTGCAGAATATACTTTATTTTCAAGCACATAGTGAACATTTACAACAATCGACCATATACTGGGTGAAAATACAAGTGTTAACTAATTACATAGGACTGAAATCCTATGGAGTATATCCTCAAACTACAATGTAATTGTGCTAAAAATTTATAACCAAAAGATAATTAGAAAAGCCTCATATATTTTGAATTAAGACATAAACCTCCAAATAACCAATGTGTCAGAAGAAGAAATCATAATGGAAAACAGAAAATAACCACGATACTCTTGAGGAACAAGGTGGGAAGACTTGCTCTATCAGATATCAAGGGTTATTTTAAGCTACAGAAATTAATGTTGTGTGGTATTGATATTGAAATGGATAAATAATATAATGAAACGTAATAAGAACTCCAGAACAAAGAGCTCAGAGCATTAGGGAAAAAATAGCCTTTTTTTTTTTTTTTTGCGGTACTTGGGCCTCTCACTGTTGTGGTCTCTCCCGTTGCAGAGCACAGGCTCTGGACGCACAGGCTCAGCGGCCATGGCTCACGGGCCCAGCCGCTCCGCGGCATGTGGGATCTTTGCGGACCGGGTCACAAACCCGTGTCCCCTGCATCAGCAGGCAGACTCCCAACCACTGCACCACCAGGGAAGCCCAAGAATAGCCTTTTTAATACCACACTGGGATAGCTGGGTATTCACATGAACAAAAACTAAACTTGACTCTTACCTCACTCAAAATGTAATTCCAGGTAGACTTTAGACCTAAAGGTAAAAAGAACTAAAATATTTTGCAAGATAAATAGAAAAAGATATTCATGACCACAGAGTAGGAAAAGATTTCTTAGATATGGTACAAAAAGTACTTATCAAATAAGAAAAGATTTGGTATATTTGACCTTATTAAAGTGGAAGAATTTTTGTTCATCAAAAAGACACCCTAAAGAGAGTGAAAAGAAAACCCATAGAAAAGGGGAAGATATTCACAACACGCAAAACCAACAAAGAACTAGTGAAAAGAATATATTTAAAAATCAACAAGAAAAGGATAAAAAACTAATTTTAAAATAAGGTAAAACTTGGATGATTTCCAAAAGTATAAATCCAATTTGTCAATAGTCTATGAAAAAGTTCTCAAACCTATTAGTAATCACAGAAATGCAAATTAAACCATAATGATATACTATTATATACCCAGTAGATTGCTAAAATGGAAAACTGACAATTCCAAGTGTTAGGAAGCAGAACAAAAAGAACCCTCACAAATCTGATGGGAGCATAAATTGGTAAAAACACTTTGGAAAGTTGACATTATCTATTATAGTTGAAGATAAGCATCCCCGGTAATGTAAATCCTGGATATACACTCTCAAGAAACTTTTACACAGATGCAGCAGGATGCCTAAACAAAAATATTCATTTCAGCATTGCAATGACTGACAAACTAAAAACCCCAAATTTCAAGTGCAGTATGGACAAAGTGTGATATATTCATGCAATGGAATACTTAACAGCAATGAAAATGAAGCAACTACACCTCCGCAGAACAATATGAGTGACTCTTACAAACAATGCTAAGAAAAAAAAAATACAAATGAATGCACACAGCATGATTACATTCATATACAGTAAAAAGCAAGCAAACTAAACAATATTCTTTAGAGATGCAAATAATACATGGTAAAAATGTAAAGAAAAGTAAGGAAGTGATTACCACAGAAATCAGGACAGTAGTAACTCCCAGGGACAAGGAAGGGAGAGGTGATTTGGGAAAGGTCAAGTGGTGATGTTGGCAATGCTCTATTTCTTGATGTGCAATATGGTTATATAGGTGTTTTTTAATAATTGGTTATTATACTGTACATTTTATGCTATATTCACTTTTCATAATGTATGTTATTTCATAATTTTAAATGGTTTAATAGAAAAGGAAAGTAATTTTAAAGAGGGCAAGAATGAAAGAAGAAATACCTGTCGGCAAGCTACTATAGTTGACACACACAGATGATGATGATTTGGATTAGGGTGGTGACAGCAGACATGGTGAAAATAGATTAATTCAAGATGAGTTAGAATGAAAAGAGCTTGTTGACATATTGAACTTTGGGGAGGAGGGAAAGGAGAAATCAAGGATTGCTTCTAGGTTTTAGACTTGAGCCAGTTGGTGTAAATTGGTCCAATGTACTGAGAATGGAATGCTGTTGTGGGGAGAAGATGGGAGAGAAAGTTTGAGAGGATGGCTAGGATAGGGAATCATGAGACCAGTTCTGGATATTAGGTTTAAGACGTAATGAGAAGTTTGAGTGGAGATATCAAATAGGTAGTTCAGTGTAGGTACCTGCCCTCCAGAGGATTAGTCTGGATTGAGATATAAATGAACGATTTAACAGTATCTCCACAGTATTTTAAACCATAGAGATTTAAAATACAGTTGGGTGATCTAATCCGTAAGACTGGATTAGATCACCCAAGGAGAAAGAATGTAGAAGCAGAGTTAGGCTCAGGATTGAGCTCTGAGCAAATACAGTATATTAAGGATGGAGAAGAGAAATTAAAAAGAGAGGCTGAGAAAGGGTGAGATAGCAGAAAAACAGTTTTAAGCAGAAGGGAGTGATCAACTAACTATACTGGTACTGAGAGGTGGCAGAAAAATATCCTTTGGATTTAGCAACATGGAGATCACTGGTACTCTTAATCAGCGTAACTTCAGTAGAATGGTGGAGGCAAGACCAATTTGGAGTAGGTTGAAGTTTAAACAAAAGTTGAGGGCTTCCCTGGTGGCGCAGTGGTTGAGAGTCCACCTGCCGATGCAGGAGACACAGGTTCGTGCCCTGGTCCGGGAAGACCCCACATCCCGCAGAGCGGCTGGGCCCATGAGCCATGGCCACTGAGCCTGTGCGTCCGGAGCCTGTGCTCCACAATGGGAGAGGCCACAAGAGTGAGAGGCCCGCATACCGCAAAAAAAAAAAAAAAAAAAAAAAAAAAAGAAGGTTGAGGAAGTAGAGACAGTATATGTAAACAAATCTTTTGAGGAATTAGATTACAAAGACACAGAAATGAGGCAATATGGGGCAATGTGGATTCAAGGAGCCTCAGTCAGGGTTGTTGATGGGCATGACACAATTAGATGGGTTTTTTGATAATGCCAGGGAAAGAAAAACAAAGACAACATAAAACACTCAAATTTTCTGAGGATCTATAACGCTGTTTCCTAGCTCACAGATTCCTGAAGTTTCTAGGAAAGTGAGTTCCTTTACAGTCCCTGTAAAGTAAACTTCTACTAAGTAAGATGTACAAGCTTGAGTGATTTTTTTAAAAACAATTACAAGAAAACTCAGGATTGAGCTGAAAGGAAATCCAGAGATTTTCTTTCCAGAAAAATAAACATAAAAATATATTCTTAATTTGTGAATTGTACAAATGTCTATTCTGACATTTATCATCTCTTTCTCTTAGGAAATTCTTCTTTATAGCTCACTGACATCTTTCACCCTTCAGTTATAACCCGTAGGCTTTCAAGCAAATGCTTTCAACAGAAACATCAAATTAGAAGAACTTATAAGACAAACATTAATAAATAATAAAGTATTTAATAAAAGAACTTCATAAATACATCAAAACAGAGGTAAATATACAAAGCATTACCTATTGACTTGATTTCTTGAATTTTTATTTTTGTTGGTACAAAGTGTGGTCTTAAATTTGACTTTTCAAAATCACTCTTTTTAGGTTCAGGCATATTTTTGAAGGAGACATATCTGAAAGAAATAAAATTAATCTAAATTAAAATAATTAGAAAATTTACAAAATTAATCTAAAAAATAAATTTGGAGAAATGTGGTCAAGTCCCAGTTATAGATAAATTTGAATGTTGTTTTAATATATTATAGTACAAAGTGTAAAAGATTGGGACTGATTAGCAGGAGCTGAAAATATTAGTGGTAATCACTGGAAACAGAGAGAGAAAACTGCTGTTGTCATAGAATTGAGGGCACTCAGGAAACTATTGTTCACAAGCTAATTAACCCTTTTAGAAAAATACATTGGAAATTTGTTAAATGAGATACTGGGGACATTGCCAAGCCTAGTCATAGTGGTGGGATATGCAGTTAGGGTCAGCTCAGATTCCAGAATAGTATACCAGATAGGATCACAGAATCTATTTACTGTAAACAGAAATTTTTCTCCACTAAATTCTTTAACTGAATATTGATGGTATGTAATTATAATAATTATATAATTTATGATATTTCTGACCCCTAAATGCTATGACTCAGATCTCAGACACTCACCTTTAGTTTATATCATCCAGTCTCCCACCTTTTATTATCTATAGGTTGATATCCTCCAGACTTATAGTACAGACCCCAAACTCTTCCCTGAGCTCCAGATTTATATATCCAACTGCTACATGATTTCTGCAGTTAGATATATCATGGGAATTTCAAACATATTCAAAACCAAATGTTTGCTTCCACTTCTTTTCCAATCTGTTCCTTCCCCAGGTTTTCTCATTTCCATTCAGCCAGAGGCTTAGGCCAAAAACTCTGCAGTCATCTTTGACTTCTCCTTCTCTCGTTCCCCATTCCCGATATCTCAGCACATCTCATTGGACCTTTCTTTGAAATACATTCCAAATCCAACCACTTCCTTCCTCATCACATCGACCCTAGTCCAAGGCCCCTTCATCTCTCATCTGATCTACTTCTCTACGTCCCTCGTCTTCTTCTAACTGCTCTCTCTGCTTTCACTCTTGTGCCCAGCAGTATTTTCCCAATGCAACCATGGTGGCACCTGTAAAATATAAACGAGACCGTCATTTCCCTCCAACTCTTTCCTGTCACACTGAAATGAAATTCACAATTCTCACTGCAAGACAGAAACTTTCCTCCCAATTCTTGTATTTCCAAGTAGAGGAGCTTCCATTGAATGCCCCTCCAGGCCTCTCTCTGTGCATCCCTTTACCCCTCTCCTCTACATGGAAGCAGAGTGAGTTTTTTGGCTGTTTGGCTTAAGGAAAGGAACTTATGCTCCCACGTAAGTACCTTGGCCCTTGCTCTCCACTCTGCCTGTAATATTCTTCCCCCAGGTATTGCAAGGTTTACTCACTTAAATCATAAGAGATGTATTTCATAAGGCTTTACTCAAATTTCCATCTCTCCAGAAAGGTCTTTCTGCGCTCCCTCTCATCTAATATAGTAAATTATGGGAGTCAATCTTAATTCCGTTAATTTACTATATTTTTCTTCATAGCATTTATCACTAGTGAATTTATATTATACATTCATTTGCTTGTTTGTTTGTTATCTGTCTCTCCACCTTATCCTAGAATGCAAATTGAGGGCAGGGTCTTTGTTTTAGTCACTGTTGCATTCCTAGCACCTAGAACAGTGACTGGCACATAGTACACGTATAATAAATATTTGTTGAATGTATGAATTGTTTTGGTAAATTTTGATTGAACTCTCTTATAATCTTATAATTTCCAATGAGTTTTCAGTTTATTCTGTTTAGGTTTTTCAATAAACAATCATTTAATCTTCATAAAATAATTTATCTGTTCCTTTCAAAACATTTAAATTTGTATCTTATGTTGTTATTTAATATCATTGGTAAGTACTTCCAGAATAGTTTGGTATACTAGTGAGAATGGGCAACCCTCTGTTTCTAATTGAAATGGGAATGTGTCAAAGGTTCCACCCTAATGTTGTTGGCTATACGGTCTTATTAAGGAGATGATTCTTTTATCCTTATCTTACTAAGGTATTTTTTCAAATACATTTGCAGAATATATAGAGATGTTCAGATATGGATTTCCTTACAGTGAACCAAAGAGCATGGGCTTTGAGGTTAGACCATACTTTGCATCTAGACTCTATGTAAACTTCTGCAGAATATTGAGTCTCTCTGAATCTCAGTCCCTCATTTGCCAACTGAGGGTAATATTTACCTCTTGGGGTTGTTATAAGAATTATTTACATTAGATAAGCACCCGCCGCTCACTGCAGCCGCGGGGTGACGCCTTTTGCCCCAGGGATCTCCCCACTGCCCAGCGCCTTGGGACCTCCTCTTGAAGACATGGGCGTTATCGAGACCCAGCGGAAGCCAGAGGAAGGGAGGAGAGAGAAGGTGATAAATTCCAGAATCACTCATTCATCCCCACGTGGCAATTCCGGGGAAAACCTATGCGTGGTAGTGGATGTGGCTTTCTTTTTCCTTTTCCTGCCCCCTCTCAGCCCTAATCCCCAGCGTCTGTTCACTACCACAAATAGAACCTTCTGTTGGATGAAATAAAACCAAACACTGGGTCTTCAAACAACAGTCAAACAAACAAAAAATTAGATAATAGTGAAATGTAATAAAATAATTAGGAGGTGATGAGTTTTATCTTTTTTAGTATGTCACTGAATTTTTAGCTTACATATTTAATTTAAATAATGGCTGTGTTTAATAACCATCTAACAAAATCCCTGAAGATTCAACAATCAGCTCTAACAAATTGTTGGGAGCTGGCTCTAGCACACCAATGATCCCACACCAGAAGAAAAAAAAAAAGATTAAAAGAAGGAAGAAGAGGAGGCGTGCTAGAGGAAGACCACACCCATCTCCCACTTACAGGTCAGGACAGGAAGAATCAAATCACTGGCCATCCCCTTTTCATTTCAGGTCACTAAACTGGCTGATATGGGGGAAGGGGAAACCTCAACTAATACGTGGGATCAAAATACTAAACTGGTCAGACTTTTAATAACCAAAAATGATCAGAGTGAAATTGGAGAAATAAATATAAAACTGCTTTATGTTTTATGTTCCCAAGTTGAGAAAGGCAGTGAAACAGTTAAGCTAACATTTTTATTTTAGATTTTTAAAAAATCTATATTTATAAGTGAGATACTGCAATGGTTTTATATTCTTGTGGTCAGACTTGAGGTTCAAAGCTATCTTTATAAAAAGAATTGGAACTATTCCATCTCTATGCTCAGAAACCATTTAAATACTTCTTTGAAACGTTGGAGTCACCCTGACATAGCTTCAAGACGCTGCTTTTTTTTTCTTTATAAATTATTTTATTTCATTTATTTTTGGCTGTGTTGGGTCTTCGTTGCTGTGCACAGGCTTTCTCTAGTTGTGGCGAGCGGGGTCTACTCTTCGTTGCGGTGTGCAGGCATCTCATCGCAGTGGCTTCTCTTGTTGTGGAGCACAAGCTCTAGGCACGAGGGCTTCAGTAGTTGTGGAACGTGGGCTCAGTAGCTGTGGCTCGCGGGCTCTAGAGCCCAGGCTCAGTAGTTGTGACACACGGGCTTAGTTGCTCCGCGGCATGTGGGATCTTCTCGGACCAGGGCTTGAACCCGTGTCCCCTGAATTGGCAGGCAGATTCTTAACCACTGCGCCACCAGGGAAATCCAAGATGCTGCTTTTGTAAAAGACAGTTCTTTGACAATTTCTCAAAATTTTCTAGTTATTGATTTAGTTACATTTTCTTTTTCTTCTTGATTCGATTTTCATCATTCATATTTTCCCAGATTATCCACTAACAGACTCATGTTTTAAAGCAGCTCAGTTATATGAAGTACTCATTATAATTATTTTAATTTCTTCTACATCCATCGTCATAGCTCCTTTCTCATTACTAATATTGTGCCTTTATGTTGTCTGTTTCTTCTCTTCAATTTCTTAAATCATGGTCATTTTAACATTCTTTGGGGAGGTCTTAAACATGCTAATTTTGCAAAATGTTCTTAAAGATTCAGTGTGCTTATGAGAGGAAAGCCAAAGTCTGGTGGAAGTACTGGGAGATGACAGCTTTTTTTTTTTTTTACATCTTTACTGAAGTATAATTGCTTTACAGTGGTGTGTTGGTTTCTGCTTTATAACAAAGTGAATCAGCTATACATATACATATATCCCTATATCTCCTCCCTCTTGCGTCTCCCTCCCATCCTCTCTATCCCACTTCTCTAGGTGGTCACAAAGCACCAAGCTGATATCCCTGTGCTATGCAGCTGCTTCCCACTAGCTTTCTATTTTATATTTGATAGTGTATATACGTCCATGCCACTCTCACTTCATCCCAGCTTACCCTTCCCCCTCCCTGCGTACTCAAGTCCATTCTCTACGTCTGCATCTTTACACCTGTTCTGCCCCTAGGTTCTTCAGAACCTTTTTTTTTCTTTAGAATCCATATATATGTGTTAGCATATGGTATTTGATTTTTCCCTTTATGACTTCACACTGTGACAGTCTCTAGGTCCATCAACCTCAATACAAATAACTCAATTTCATTTCTTTTTATGGCCGAGTAATAGTCCATTGTATATATGTGCCACATCTTCTTTATCCATTCATCTGTTGATGGACACTTAGGTTGCTTCCATGTCCTGGCTATTGTAAATAGATCTGCAATGAACATTGTGGTACATGACTCTTTTTGAATTATGGTTTTCTCAGGGCATATGCCCAGTAGTGGGATTGCTGGGTCACGTGGTAGTTTTATTTTCAGTTTTTTAAGGAACTTCCATACTGTTCTCCATAGTGGCTGTATCAATTTACATTCCCACCAACAGTGAAAGAGGGTTCCCTTTTCTCCACACCCTCTCCAGCATTTATTGTTTGTAGATTTTTTGATGATGGCCATTCTGACTGATGTGAGGTGATACCTCATTGTAGTTTCGATTCGCATTTCTCTAATGATTAGTGATATTGAGCATCCTTTCATGCATTTGTTGGCAATCTGTATATCTTCTTTGGAGAAATGTCT